CATTCCCATACCTTTGTCAGTGTATAATAATAATAATAGTTACTATTATTTTAGTATTCGACAAGTAGAAAGCATTTTAAATTACTTTTCTACTGAGGTTGAACTTTTTTAAAAACTGCTTCAAGGGATAATTTACACTTCATAAAATTCAATGTAAGTGTACAATTCAATGATTTTAGTAATTATATAGTTGTGCAACTATTACCACAACCCACTTTTAGAACATTTCTATCACCCTAGAAAATCTCCTCCACATGGCCATATACAGTGAGTCCCTGCTCCCACCCCCAGACACAGGCAACTATTTCGCTTTCTGTTCCTATAAATTTGCCCTTTCTAGACATTTCATATAAATGGGACTGTTAGTCTTTTGCATGTAGCTTCCTTCACTTTCATGTTTTTGAGGTTTATTCGTTAGCACAGATCAGTATTTCGACTCTGAACTTTTTCAATCTTCATGTTAACTTGCAGTTGTTCCTCTGAGAGCTGTCTGTTACAAAGGCCCTTGCCCATTTTTCTATTGGGGCACTGAAGGATTTTACAGAGGAGGGATATAATCAGGTTCATGTTACATTAAGAGAATTCTAGCAGCACTGGGAAGGATAACTCTATATTTGCATTTCCAATTCTAGGACAATCATCAATACGTTTACTGCATTGAATTATGCTTTATCTACCTACAATAAAGAACTATAATATAAGCTACAAAGAACTATAAAATTATAAAAGGTATAATTATTTGAATAGTTTCCTCTCCTTAAGCAGTGTCATAAAGTTCTAATTTAGTCTCTAAAAAAAGAGACAATTATGCAGTTGATTTTACTTTACTGTAGTGAAAATAGGTCCCTTCTGGGACAAAGTGAAGTATGAATAAATAAATGTTACCTTATTCTAATGTTGCTCTTGGTGGCTTGTTTTCTGCATCAAGAGCCCTTAAAATGTTCCTCATCTCTAAGGTTCATTGAATAGGTATTTGACAAACAGTATCTTTGAACTCTATTATTTCTGTAAAGTTAAAAGGAGACCCCCCTGCTGCAAAACCTATTCCCAAGTAAAACCTCTCTAAAAAAGAAAAATGTCCTATTGTGATCCCATATTAACCATTACTGAATTTGTATCCCATGCTATTTTGCTAAATCCAATTAGACTCTTTGAGAAGTAAAGGCTCAGATCTAGTAAAAGTTGCAGTTCTTAAAGGTAGCGGAGGCACTCAAAGCTTGACATATTCGAGTGCTGAAACTTTTCTTCATTACACCTCCTTCAGTCTTCTAAGTCCCGTCCCCAGAGCTGTGTGGATGATCTACCTTAAAGCTAAAAAACGTTAAAGCAAGGGATCCTCACTTGTATGGGGTTCTTCCTAATTTTGTATGTTTTTCCTTAAGAGGGAAGAACAAATTATATAACTTCAGGCCCCACTAAACTTGGACCTGCCCTGTAACCAATGACCTCTATCCCCCATCCCAAAGGTTCTTTGTAAGTTGGTCCTTTACTTCATGGCTTGAGTCTAGATAAATTTCTACAAGCCTTCTTTTAATACAGACATCCTTTTAGAAAGCTTGTCATGCAGATAATAAAGTAACAACATAAATGATTCACCTAGAGTCTCATCACTTCAACAGGTAACCCACATTTATTCTTCTGTGGCCCCTTTCAGTTTTTGTCCACATGTCTACATAACTTTGTGTGATTATAATTAAAGTTGTTTTATCTTGGAAAATGACCAGCTGCCCGAGTTCAGAGGGTGGGCAAGGATGCTGCCAGGGCCACATCCACCTTGTTCACCACTGGATGCTCTGTGCTTAGCACAGAGTCTGGCATCCGGTTAGTACTTAAATATTGGCCGAATTGGCCGAGAGACTAATTCTGAACCTGAATGGCCCAATTTTTTTTTTTTTGGGGGGGGGTATTGAACTCCAAGTAGAAACGAAAAACTCTTAAAAAGTAGCAATTATTGTTTTCCATTAAAGTGGAATCCTGCCTCATTAATTGATTGATTAAACAAGTGTATATTAAGTGTCTGTTAAAACCAAACACAGTTGGATTACTTGAGATATCAAGAGAGACCCAAAGGAGGAAAAATTTGCAGAGTGTGCTCTTTCTAATCCCTATCCCAGCCCTGAACTTTATGGCCTGAGATGAATAAGGAGAATGGAGGAATTTTTAATCTTTTAAAAAGACACAGCCTTATTTTATCTTTGCAGAAGAGTTGACAAAAATATTTAAAAAAATGGCATTGGGGAAGAAAAGGAATTTTACTTAAGGCAGGCAGAAGATTAGAGCTCTCTATTGCCTTAAATGGCTCTGTAAGATTATGACACTAAGCTCTTTGCCAGAAACTGGGCTACACTTATCTGAAGTGCCACATTCATTCTGAAATGCTCTTAGAGGGAGAAGTCACACAGTATTATTGTCCAAAAGGGATGATCATTTTAGGTTTTGGTTAACATACAAAGCATATACCTTTTTTTTTTTTTTTAGGATCTAGAACATGAGGGAGGGCATGTGAGACATGCATCGGTCACTTGAGTGACCTCATGTGACACATGCAGAGTCACTTGAGAAGTCTGACCCTGCAAAAGATTGTCTCCTTCTACCCTGGGGTCAGTGCTACTAGGCAATGGCATTTCCTGGCAAAGTTCAATTAAACAAAATCCCAGACTCGTTTTTCTTCAAAATAATTTTGATTTAATTTCTTCTTTTATATAAAAAGAAAACAAATTACATTTCAGAGAACAGTGTTTAGGTTATGAGGTTCCCATCAGAGCTGTTTTGCAAAACATGTTTACATAATCTGAAGTGAAGTCGGCAGTCGACTGTGAAACTGGGGCCAGCCAGGCTGCCTTGTGCGCGTTCCATTTTGGACAACAAACTAATATAACATTCTATTGTTTAGGTGTCAGCTAGATTTGGATTTTCTTTTGGACGTTTGAATTGGGATGAGAAAACAAACCACCACCACATCACCATGACCAGATTTTAAAAAGCATCAGGTCAGTGCTTTGTAAAGAAAACAAGCAGCATCAATATTTTCTGCTCTAATCAATGAGCCCAAACATTTGACGTTTTGAATACAGATAAATAAGTCAAATTTTTGGAGAGAAAATCTTATAGAATCTTTCTGTTTGTACTGCCCAATGTGTTACTGATTATTTCCCCTACTGACCAATTGTATTTTGCGGTCCAAGATTCACAGAAGTGAATCTTGCTGTGTTAAAATGCAAAGAGAACAATAAACAGTATACAGAAGCAGTTAAATACTTCTTATAAAACTTATCTTAGAGAAAATTTGCCAAAGTAAAAGCAATTACACTTTAGAAGATCCCACTTAATGGCGAATGTATCAAACACCTAAAATTTTGGACAGTTATTAGGAGAAGGCTGAAAATGTGTCCTTGCAGCTTTACCACTCAGCTTCATTTACCTGCCCTCCCTGAGGAGCCTGACTGGAAGGGATCTGTTTCTCTTTGTCTGAAAGTGCCTTGCATTATAGTTAACTGTAGGCGTAGTTTACTGGACCACAAGTTCCTTTAGGATATGAGTGATGTCTTATACATATTTGCCTTCTCCAAAGTACCGAACATGGCAGTGCTGGGGCTCAGGACAGGCTGCCCCAAGATATGTCACAGTGGCATAGTGATTATTTTGAATTAAAGTTACTTGAGAAACAGCTGGTGGAAACAAAAGATATAAAAAACACTCTGACTTCCCCCTTCCCCATGAAAGCAAGAAATAAATCTCCCAGGTGAAGGTATCCTCCCTATACCAGGAGGCTACAAAGCGTCCTTATCACCCGAGTTAGGGAACTCAAGGCTTAAAAAGCTATACTATAAACAAATGTTGTTACTTCTTCATCAGTTTGCTCCCTAGCATAACTTAAATCTTCATAAATCTTTGTCTAAAAATGATATATGAACAACTTGCTTTGGTCACTTCGGGGGTCCCATTTCTATGAGAATTCTACACATGCAAATTAAATTGTTTTGTTTTGCTTCTTTCTCCCGTTAATATGTCTTGGGTCAATTTAATTATTAGACCAGCCAAAAGAACTCAAGAGGGATGGGGGGAAATTTCCCCCTCCCTGATCGTAGTTATTCAATTATTTATGGAAATGAGTAAGTCAAAATACAGATAAAAAAATTCTCCTAATGAACTCCAAGTAGAAACCAAAAACTCTTCTGCTTCTGCATTTAGTGGCTGTATTGTATTTGCAAAATATATTTAGCGTAAATGAAGTGAATATTTCCCTCTAATACAGTCCCTTTTTGTGGGTAAATTTATTCTTTATTCCAATACATTTTTGGGGTGTGATGATGAAACTGATTTTGGATGATCACCCGTAGGTGTCAAATGTCAAAGCATATTTCTTTGCCCTTTCTGGCACAGTATTAGTATACCACATATTCATCCAGAGCCTTTCCAAGGAAGAGCTCTCTAAACAAGCTATTTTAAATTTTATAACGTCCTCAGTTATGTGTTAAATAAGCTAAATTCAAAGAAACTATAAGATTAACCACTTCGGAGCAAAAAGTGAAAGAAATTTAATCAGAAAATTCAAAGAGATGACAGCAAAGAAAGTCTAAAATTAATTGTAATATGATCAGAATGAGATCTCATCTCATCATTCTAATTTGTGAGCCAGGACACACGTACACAAAGAGTTTTCCGACCAAGCTAATTAATAGGCCAAAGGAGCTGGTTTTGTGAAGAAAAACCTAAGGAGGCAAAGTCATTCAGTATAAGTCTAACATAGGATTTTGGAAATTCTAAATCAGCAAGTCTCTTAAAGGAAACAAAAAGCAAATATCGGGCTTCCCTGGTGGTGCAGTGGTTGGGAGTCCACCTGCCAATGCAGGGGACACGGGTTCGTGCCCCGGTCCGGGAGGATCCCACATGCCGCGGAGTGGCTAGGCCCGTGAGCCATGGCCGCTGAGCCTGCGCTCCGCAATGGGAGAGGCCACAACAGTGAGAGGCCCGCATAACGCAAAAAAAAAGAGCAAATATCACGTTGCTTTTCAGTTTAATCAATAATGCATTCATTTTCATATTCACTTTGATTATTAAATGCACAAAAATATATCAAATCACTTTTCTGTGTGTTAAAACATTCAAGTATATCATTGAAAAAAGGCAATGCAACTTTGTCTCTGAAGTTTTTAAAGACAAGGGAGGCAACTAGAGATAAACAAGGATTAAGCCTGGAAGCTCTCTCAAGGTCTGGCTTTTGATTCCTATGTCTCTAACTGAACAAAACCCTCAAGTCATAAAAGCACAGAGATACATTTTCTCCACGCCTTATATTCCTGTTCTAAGAGAGGTTAGCACCGGGATCCAGACACATAACGCAGCATTTTCTAATTACCTAATTTCTACCAGCAGTTTCTGCTAACAACAACAACAAACAACTTCAGAGAGACTGTCTCCCTCAATAAACGTAACTAAGTTCAAGTGCATATTAAGGTTTGTAGAGATGAAATGACATAACTTGAAGATTGACTTTAAAATGTTTCAGTGGAAAAGAAAAAAAGGGGGATAGGTGAGAAATGTGGCAAAGTCTTATAATTACTAAATGTAGGGGATGGGTATGGGGGGATTTATCATATTATTTTTTTCTACTTTTGTGTATGCTTGAGAATTTTCATAATGAGACTTTTTAAAAAAGAGCTTTAGGCAATATAGTTCATCAGTATGGGTATGGGTCTATGGACTAGATAGAAAGCTCTGCTAAAAAGAAGAATGGCTGGTCTTGAATCTGGGGCTCTTTACCAGGTTTAAAAAACCATTTCACCTGTCTTTCTCAAAGGAAGGAAAATCACACAAATCTACACATTATCTTGGGATGTGTATTAACACAATACACTGTTTAATGTTACCATAAAATTAGAGAAATCTAACTTTTCCAGCTGAACATGGAGGCTATATTACATGAAAGACATGGATTTAGATTTTGGTTTAGCTTTTAGTTTGAAAGAAAAAGAAGAGAGTGTTAATCAAAGAATTCAGATTCCCTAATCCTTTTCTCAGATCCAAGTAGTTTTTCTTTTGGGGATTTAACCGCTACCCTGACAGTTACAGAAGTTAAGTTGAGGGGGTCTCCTTCTGGAGGTCATACTTTGAACAGAAGTCATCCTTTCCTGTGTTGAAGAAATCACTTTCACCCTCAGCAGAGAATACACTTTTAAGGAGGCCTCACTCTTTCTGGCCCCTCTCTATTCCCTTAACACCTCATATATCCCTCTCTTCCATGCTTCCTATATTCTTCCCCACTGGTCCTGTCATCACATCCTATGCAATCCTCAGAGGTCCAAAAAGCCAAAGAGCCCCCTGGGTCTATGAGGACAATACTTGTTCCTGTGCAAAATGTGGCTTGGGGAACTGGAACTGGATTAGAAACAAAAGAGGAGTCAGATAGCAACAAATTCTCTCCTAGTTCCTTTATTTTACATAAGTTTCATGACCATGGGGCCTGTTCTGACATTGCTTTTTTTTTTTTTTCCTTCTTTCTTTTTTAAAACAGAGATTAAGGGCTCACGTAAGAATTCACTCTACTAACACTGATGTCATGGACACTTCTTTTTTAGAATGAGGTATTTGGTTTACTGTCTAAAACAGTGAAGGTTTGGGCAAACTGCAGAAATGATATAGCAAGTGATAAAATAAAAGTGAATAACTGAAACATAAAACAGAAATGGGATCTGGCAACATAGTTGCTCTGACACTCTGAGAATCATTATTGTAGCCAGAATAAACACACCTACCCTACATCTCTAAAAGCAAAACCCAGCATGATTTTTCCTAGGGGCATACATTTCTACTCAGAAAAGACAGTGAGAATGAAGAGATGAGTGAATATGAAAATGGTAAAGAGATTAAGACCACTCTTACTGCCCTTTTCCCCATTCTAACACGAATTACTTATTAATGGACCACTATTTCCCTTGGTTTCAAATTACCTTAGGAAAACATTAATAATTACAGCAACAACAGCATTTACAAGTGAGTTTATGTGGAACTGTTGTCAGAGTTCAAAACACCATGAAAGATCTGGAGAAGACAGTTGACTATTTCACATAAAAAACTGAACAATTAGGTTAGCCAGGCCCAAAATAATGATGAAAATGTGAGAGATTAACTTAGGCCATGTTAGACGCTCTTCTTGGTAGAGGGAAATTATATAGATGAGAGATGGATATATGAATACAAAGGCCAGGCCACATGCTGCTCCTGAATATCTGCAAAATAAAAGCTTTTGGGTTAATATTCATCCTGTGTTTTTCTGATTTACAATTATGGTAAATATAGTACAATTTAAATCCTCCTCAGTCTGATATTACAATAAAATTGTTTTTGATTCATTTGTTGACATAAAGCATTTGAGTTTAAAACTTATTTTACTTGCTAAGTTAATATAAAATATTATTTCCTGTTCATCTTTATAGCATCCGCTTGACAAAGAGTTTTTTATTCATCTCTCAAATCTCCCTAGTTCCTCTGTATCTCAGTGATTATGGCTACTTCCTCAGAAACATCTGGAGATAGGCTTCATACCTTTGATCTTTTATAAACTAATTATAAATTCTGAGTTGTTGAAGGACTGCTAGCATCTGCTTAAGACTGAGAGTGCCTCCTTGGCATTCAGCATAATTATCAAAGATAGTAACAAAAATACCTAAACACATGACAGAGGAACCTATACTTTCTTCTCTCCTTCCCTATACTTAGTTTTCTTGAAAACAGGTTAATGGGAACTTGTAAATCCATTATATTCAATAAGCATCAGGCTAAAAGTCTCCCCTTTTGTTTCTTGCTACTTTCTTAGGTAAGGGTCTTCCAAAAAGTGACTCAGTCCTGCTTTCTACAGGTCAAGGAAATCAGATCATTCGAAATTTCAGTTTTCCGTGAGAATCTGAGGTCACAAATATATTCCCAATCTACTCAACCTATCACAATGTATTTGGAGAAAGGATATTAAGGAAAGAGCCATCTGGGATCTAAACTCTTACTTTATGACTACAATCGACACTGAAATATGTTCTTGAGTAGAAATGGATTAAGAAAGTTAGGACATAGCCTTGACATATTAGGGACATTTGAGGTACCCCAAGAAGTTATATATTATATATTAAAAACAACTTTATTTTGGATAAAGAAAAAGGAATACAGTAGAAAATTATGAGAAAAACAAAAAAGAGAAGGGGAAAGGTACATAAGGCTAAGGGATAATGGGGCTTCTAGAGTCAGGAATAAGCAGAAATGGAAGATAATGAGCACCTTAACTGATACCAGGGAACTACATTTGAATGTTACCAGTTTTAAATACTCACAGGAATTTTATACAATTATATCAAAACAACAACTACAACAACAACAACAACAGGAAAAGCATAAAAATAAAGACCAATATATGAAGGGGCAAAGTTCCCTTACAGGCAGTACCTTATGATTCCTCCTATGTTTGGGTAGAAACAGGCCATGAGCACGCCAGCTCCCACAATAACTAGATTAAGAATCAACACGTGGAAAATGCTAAAAGTTGAGAAGAGAGTTTGGAGGAAGAAAAAATATAAAAACAGGAAAATTATAACAATTAATATGAGAATAAAATTCATTATTATCATCCTTAAAATGAGAATGTCTTAAACTTGACAATAAAATCACAGCATAAATAGAAGGCAACAATAGTACTCAATACTGGTGATGGGACAGTGATACCTGGCCCTTTTGTGCAATTATATAAATAGGTTAAATTTTGTAGGAGCAAACTGGTAGTGTGTATCAAGGTTCACATTCTTTGACACATAATTCCATTTGGGTGGAAAATCATAAGAAAATAATTGAAAAAGCTATTAACATAAAGATATTTGTGAAAAGACAGAAGCATCCTAGATATATGGCAGGGTAACAATTTACTTGATGGAATATACTAAAAACATTAAAAATAAGTAATCACTGTTACCTAGATGGTAAAAATCCATCTAGGCAACTTGAGGAAAAGTTAGTTAGATTTTTACTACACAAGAAAATCTGAAAACACTTGAAAAAATATCAGAAGGAAATACACTGAAAAGGGTGTAGTGACTGTGTTATAATTTGGGATTTGGGGTAATCTTTGTTTCTATATTTAACAAATTTTGTATGTTTTACAATATTTCTTTGTAAAGTGTTTACTTTTATAATTAGAAAAATAAATTTTATTAAGGGGTAAGACAAAATGGGCAGGTTTTTATTTTTCAGATTTAGTCATTTAAAGCTATTCAGTATTTACCATGAATAGAATATCTGCTAAATAACTTGAATTAGATGTTAACAATTCAAGGTTTGGGAATCAATTCTGGACACAAACAAACATAATGTAGATGGAATATGATGCTCAAGAAATAACTCCATTTCCCCCAAAAATGATCCTTAAAAGCCAAATTTACACATCAAAGCAACATTGTGAGCCCAAGTTATCAGAGGTTAATTAATCCTAGGTAAAGATTACAGAAAGAATTAAAAATAAGGAAAAGTATTTACACAAATAAGTGGTTAGTCATCCATCTTGATGAATTACAAAGATATTCAGGCTTCCAGATCTTACTATTTATCCAGAAACTCCAACCTTAAAATTGCTTCAGAGCTTTGAGAGAGACATTGGTTGGGCCTTTGTTATTTCTATATTGTAAAAGGAATCAGCTTTGTGTATTTTCCAAAGTAGTGGTTCTCAAAGTGTAACCACGAACCCCAGGGAAGTTCCCAATTCCCTTTCAGGAAGCCCTGAGGTAAAAATTATTTTCCAATCAGACAAAACATTACTCGCTTTGCAAAAGCATTGGTGGGTAAACTGCTGCCCCCTTAGCATGGATAGAGGCAGCTTCACTTGTCTGTATTCTATACTGTATTCTTTACTGCCAAACACTCTCAAAAAAAAAAAAAAAGTTTTATTAAAAATTGTCCTTGATAAAGGAGTAAAAATTATGTTTTATTAAATCTCATACTTTGAACATACATCTTTTTAATATTCTGTATGATCAAATAGCAAGTATATAATGAAGCACATCTGCTGCATACTGAAGTAAAAAGGCTGTCTTGAGGAAAAGTACTTGTGCAACTGAGCTGGGGGACAACCCTGCCGTTTTATCCAAAGACTGCTATTTTTACTTGAAAGGCAGATAAACTATGGTTCTTCAGACTTGGGTATTTGACAGACATTTTCTTGAAAATGAATGATATGATCTTATCATTTCAAGGAAAGCAACTGGTAGTTTGTGTTGCCAATGATAACATTTGAGCTTTCGAGCAAAAACTAGTATTTTGGAGAGCTTGTATTTGCCACCATGAGAGCTCGACAGTTTTCCAATAAATATCTAAAGACTTTTGATATTAATGAATGTGGGTTTTGAAGTGTGCATAATGAAGTGTGTCAACATTTGGAAGGTCTACAGAACTCACTGAACCAATATTTTCCAAAGGATTAACCCTGATGTTATAAAATCATGCATGGGTAAAAGATCCAAAGTGTAAGATAGACCAATGGATTTTAATGTAACTGAGTTTCAGATTCAACTAACTTTTAAAAAACTACCACTTGTCAAGGTTTGGCATAGTATCAAAGAAGAATATCCATAATGATCTGAAAAGGCTATTAAAAGTACTCCTTGTTCCAACTGGGAGGGTGTATTTTCTTCATATATTTAAACAAAAATTACACATTACAACAGAATGAATGCAGAAGAAGCTAGGAGAATCCAATGATCTACTAGCAAATCAGACATTAAATCAGTTTTTTTTTTTTTTTTTGCGGTACGTGGGCCTCTCACTGTTGTGGCCTCTCCCGTTGTGGAGCACAGGCTCCGGATGCGCAGGCTCAGCGGCCATGGCTCACGGGCCCAGCCGCTCCACGGCATGTGGGATCTTCCCAGACCGGAGCACGAACCTGTGTCCCCTGCATTGGCAGGCGGACTCTCAACCACTGCGCCACCAGGGAAGCCCCCATTAAATCAGTTTTAATGTCATTAATCAGTTTTGAAAGGTAAAAGGAAAGTTTTTTTTGGAAATCGTTATTTTTCAAAAATGTTATTTATGTTAACAAGTAATGGTTTATTATTGCTTTTTAAGTAAATTAATAAACATTTAAAAAATTCTGTTCTAATTTTTCATATGTTAAATATTGATGGATATAACCCACATAAGCTAAAGTTCCTGGGGGTCCTCAAATAAACCTTAAAAGTGTAAAGGGGTCCTGAAATCAAAAAGTATGCTCCAAAGTATGCAGTCTGTAGAGTACTTGTAACTGTAGGATAAATGATAATGTCTTCTTGGTGGCAGGGGAAGAAATGTAATGTGAACACAAAAGGGAATTCCAGACTTTTTACAAGAAGAAAAAACATTCTAACAGCCAACATTATGCAAAATAATGGCAGAAAACAGGAATAAGGCGTTTACCTAGAATTTTTTTCATCTATTACTTCTCCGTATTTATTTTATTTTGGTGAATGTAAATAGAGCAGGGTGTATAAACACAATAGGAATAATATTTACTGAAATCCAATAGGAGAACTGTAGCTGCTGCTATTGTCAATGCTAGAAGCCTGGTAACTCTCGATTTCTGCTTTTAAAAGCTTTTTTGTTTTTAAACCTACACATTTATAACTAATTATTTATTAAATGAGGGGAAAGACTGCATTAGTTCACTTCAAATAAACTGGTTAAGACCACTTGTTTAGCTGGTTACCGTAAATGTAATTTTTTTCAAGTTTTATCCAAAAGTTTTCTTCATTTAAGATCATTTATTCCCAATAAAATAGGTCAGGACTAGGTACTTTTTACTAGAATGAATCTATAATAAAACTTAATTAAGAGTAGAAGTTAACCAGGGGTCCACAAGGAAGTTTCAGGGAAACCTGAAGCAGTATATGGAAACTTCTCTTGGATGAGGGTAACTAGCTTTGAACAGATTTTCAAAAGGACTCACAACTCCTCCATTACCAATAAGAGATTAAAAATTACGGCAATAGTTACAGAAGCAAATAAGAATTTAAACTTGTTATGTATCTCACCTTCAATCCTAAACAATGATCATTTATGTAAAAATGCATGAATATTAAATATACAAGTAAATATCAATAACCAATAATTAAAAGAGTTGCTTCTTATTAGCCATACAGGCCCTACATACTATTAACTTCTTGGCAAAGAGTAGATTAATAGTGACTAAATCATAAGATAAATATAACTGGTATCAGAGCTAACATAAATTCACTGGAAGGAATTAACTTTAAATCATTCTGGACAAGGGAGAGGCTTCTATTTTTAAAGCTCTTCTGGGACAAGAACACCAATGATCTATCCTTGGTGTTAGGCAAGTTTTTCATTGTTCATTAGGCCAATTTTTATAGCAAAAGGATCAGTCACATTTTAAACTGACCTGTTTGCACAGTCATTTGTTGCTTGGCACATCTTGCTGGTCAAGAGAAGAGCCCTTACCTAGGATAAACGTCACCGAAGATATGGCCCAACAGCTGGACACGAGCCAAGTAGCCTAGGAGTGGATATACAGTCATCATCTGGAACAGCAGGAATATCCTTGCAATGAAGGACAGGATGTCACTGCTAGGGAAGTTGTCTAAAAAATTCTAATCCAAGAAAGATGATAATGTTACAAATCAAATTCAGTATATACAAATTTATAAAATGGAATTTTTTCGCTTCGTTTGAACATGGGTGCCACTCAAATTGTGGTTTGTGGATGGGCGTCCATCCACAAACTGTTTGTTAACTATGATTCTTCAATGAGCTAAGTACAGAAATTGAAAGTTAAGTGTTTGGAAACTTAAAGACATTTGACATTAGAATAAAAATGTGGCATTTTACGAAAGTATCAGTCTGCAAATGATTTGATATTGAAACAACAACAACAAAGAAGACCTTGTCCACCACTGACAGTCTGAGAAGTACTGCTCTATAAGGTTCAAGCATAAATTTGTTTGAATAAATTTAAATAGCTAATTCAATGCTACTTCATCCTTAATAGTTCTCTTGCTTTTCCTCCTCTGAAACACTGTTACACTTTCAAAGTAAGATTATAGAATAAGGTGAGAGTGTATCTATCACCTACTATCATTATTATGTACAGTCTATCAATAAATAGAAAAGAATTTATTTCTCCTTCCTTTCATGATTCTTTTCTCCATTTTCGTTAGGCATCTAAGAAAAAAAAAGCTAATCACTCAGATTTTTTTTTCCTTGCAAATACAAATACCACAGATATTCTTATTCCCAAGGGAGTGGGCTTTATATGGGATTGTTCACATCAGGGGAATTTTCAGCAAACATTTGGCTGCCAAAGAACTTCTGGAATCAAGGAAATCAAGAGAACATTTCAAGCTATCATAACAGCAATAACTCAAACCTATTTATCTTATAAAGATGAGAATATTATTACCACTATTATGCTGAAAAAACCTTTATAATTCATCTGTAATAAATCATATTATATACTCCACTACACTATTAGAGGAATTTCTTCTGCCTAGAAAGAAAATCACCTGTGCATGCTATTTCTTGTGAGAAATTCTTCAGTTACATAAAACTAGAGATTATACTATTCCCAGGTTTATGACAGGCCAAAGCAAAGAAAATATTATTTATGGCAACCTTTTAGTAAAAGAATGTTTCTTTTATTCTTTCTGTCTCTCCCTCTGTCTTTTTAACAGTCAAATAGTCTTTCTTTGCTTTGATACTTGACACATAGTACCAAAATGGGTGTCAGACCTATTATTACGGACTGATGAACTAAGACACCAGTTTATTCAAGACATTTCCAGATCTGGACTTTGGAAAATAAGGGAATTGAATATAGTCTCTGTGGAGGGTTTATAAATTCAAGACTACTACTAGTACAGTTCTCCACACACCCAAAAATACTATGCATATAATAGGAATCATTTATTTGAGTACCATAAGGTGCCAGCATGCAGTAGGACTTCTCAGAGAGTCCATCTAAAAATCTATGGAGTATCTATTATAATATTTAATGGAAGAGGAAACCGAAGCTCACAAGGGAGGGGTAAGGTGCTTAAATTCCCACATGCACGGTAAATAGTAGAGATTGTATTCAAACTCAGGCCTGTCTGGTATTATATTTTGCTACTGTATCACACTGCTTGCTCTGCAGATATGAAGGTGTAAACAATCACACAGAGAGGGTACACAGTGCCTTACCTGCTCTATACAATCTTTGGATAATGGTGGTGAAGGAAATGAAGCAAAAACCAGGACTCCAATATAGAAATAAGTTAATGTCACCAGTATATAAGCAATGGACAAGTCCCTCACCTGTAAAGAAAGAAAAAAATTTCCACAATGTTGAATAAATTTTTAGTAAGTAAGTATGCCTGAATAGGCTAAATAATAAGACTGACAAATAAATATAAGATTTATCTTTTTGCTCTGTGTGCCTGTGTATACCTCCTGGGTATCCAGTTTGCTCAGAGAAAGTAGTTAAAACAAGATCCACATACTTTACAATTAGTCTGACAACTTTTTAAAAGCTATTCTGGAGTATGTAGACTAAGCTACCTGTTGGCAGACTTAGAAAGTTAACATAAATGGTGATTTAACATGATTGAAATTCTGACTTAATTTCAAAATGCAGTTCATTTACCAAAATATAAAATATTTAACTAAAATAATAAAGCTAAGGGACAACAAGAAATCAAGAATAGGTTACTTTCTGTATGATTTATGGAATTAAAAATTTTTTTTTCTTCTAGTGAATTAACTTGTTAATTCATCAAAGCATGCCTAGACCAAAAGAGACTGGTATATATTAAAATATATTTAATAAAGGAAAGCTAACGCAGACAATAAGCAGGTATTAAAGACAAGCTTAATAAACCTAAACAGTAAACAAAAGGAAATCAAAAGGCAGCTGTTCAAACAGCTGCACAATCTTATGATTGGAACCAGTAAACAAATGGAGAACATTAAATAAATTGGATTGCTTTCTTCCACTGCTGTTCCCACCCTCCCAACCATCCCCATGCAAAGTAAAAAGCTCCAAGATATTTAATGAAGCCAGCTGTCAGATCCAAACAGAACAGATCCCACAGCTTATAAATCTGGTCTCCATCACCACTAAAGTTATGGCCAAATAATTCAGCACAACTAAATTATGGCTATAAGCCTATTCAGCTTTCATTTTAAACACACATTACTTTGAAAGCTAAGAAAACAGGTAAGAAAAAAAATTATATATAATTTTGCTTTAGTTTGATTCCACAGTAAGAAAACTGGACATTTGGTATTAGAGAACATTTCTGATTTTTGGGAAAACGTTCCTCCTTAAATGGGCTAAAGCAATAGTACAGAGTTATAAACTTAAATGTTGATAAATTCACTTAAAAAGCAAGTAACAAAATATGAGAAATCCAAAGTTAGGTCTAAGTTGACAATCAGCTTGAAAACAAAACAGGGATTTCAAACCCTAAATTAGACAGTGGATAGGCTATGGAACTACAGGAACCTGGATTATGGAGATTGCTTCCAGCCTTTTCAGAGTTTCTAATTGTGAAGGAGAGGCTGACCAAACCTCCAGGGAAGTTCCAAAGTCTTTCCTCTAGTTCTTGAAGCTCTAGGGCCCATCTCAGGCTAGACTTCAGTCACCCCTTGGGTTGCCTGATGGTCTTGTGTAGTATTAACAGAAATGAACCAGGCAACTCTTATTTTCATATCAAAGGGTAGTAGTCTCCCATTATGACACTTGAAAGTCATTCTACCCTCAACCTACTCAATGTCACTCAAGAACAAAGAAGTTTTGCAGAACGCAAAACCTTGGAAGGCCAAGAAGGCTGCGTCAGAGAGAGCTATATATAAAAAAGGACAGCTACCATTTCATGGAGTCTTTAGCCAGTATACCACATGATCAACACATTATTTTGGGCAGGTTTCCTGCAAAGATGTGTATCTTAGCAAACTTTGGGGAAAATCTGATGAAGATAAAAAGGCAAAGATGCAAGGTCTTCCTGATAAGATAGTTTCCCCCTTCTGCTTCCCTGTTCTTATAGTACTGTACACATATCTGAAATGTAGCATCTACTACCCTATATTGTAACTGTCATGAATTTTTATTATAAAATAATCTATATATATGATATGAGGATATCAACTGGGAAGAAAATGTCCTTTGACACCCAAAAAGTAGTCAAGGTTAATAGTTCTTCTATCATGTTGGTATTTTAATTTTTCCGTATCTAAGTTGGTCCACACTACTAGACTATGAGACCCCTGAGGACAAGGACTGTGTCTTCTTCATTTTTGTATCCCCAATCCCCAGGACAATACCTGGCACATAGTAGGAACTCAGTAAATGTAGGTAAAAGTAATCATGCTGTCTACAATTATTAAGTGCTTCTAGGTACTAGGCTCTGTGCAAAGCACAGTACATATATTATCTCACTTAATGTAGGTACAATTCTTTTCTTCATTTTATAGATAAGTAAACTAGTGCAGCTAGGTTATTTTCTCTGTTTTTTTTTTTTTGGTGGCGTTGGGTCTTCATTGCTGCACGCGGGCTTTCTCTAGTTGAGGTGAGCAGGGGCTACTCTTCACTGCGGTGCGTGGGCTTCTCACTGCGGTGGCTTCTCTTGTTGTGGAGCACGGGCACCAGTAGTTGTGGCGCACACGTGGGATCCTCCTGGACCAGGGCTCGAACCCGTGTCCCCTGCATTGGCAGGCGGATTCTTAACCAGTGCGCCACCAAGGAAGTCCCTACAACATTTTTCATGGTTACACAGTGAACAGTTGGTGAAGTCAATATTCAAACCAAAGACTTTCTGGCTCCAAATTGCATGCCCTTAGCTACTACAATGGAGAGCTAACCAGTTTCTAATACATTTGTGTCATAGTTAATAAACAATACTAAAGAAAACGGTGAAAGAGAGGTAACAAGTTTTGAGTAACAAACGATACAATAAAGCACACATATAGATGCAAGAGAAATAACTATAATCAGAAAGGTTCTATTTCACAGTAGCATAAATGTACATTCAGTAGAACTAGGTCAAGAGTTACATATCTGGGGACTTCCCTGGTGGCGCAGTGGTTAAGAATCCGCCTACCAATGCAGGGGACATGGGTTCGAGCCCTGGTCTGGGAAGGTCCCACATGCCACAGAGCAACTAAGCCCGTGCGCCACAACTATTGAGCCTGCGCTCCAGAGCCGGTGCTCCGCAACGAGAGAAGCCACCACAATGAGAAGCCTGTGCACTGCAACGAAGAGTATCTCCTGCTCACCACAACTAGAGAAAGCCCACGCATAGCAACGAAGACCAACGCAGCCAAAAATAAACAAATAAATAAATTTATATATTAAAAAAGAGGTACATATCCGTTTTCATCTGAAAATACTTTAATGAACAGAAATGATATTTTAATATAAAAAGCAGCTGAGGTTTAGCACAATCCTGGGAAACATGCCACCTATGAAGAGCATGCACACATGTGGGCTTTCCTATTCTCTGGCTTGAACACAAGCCATCACTATTCTAGGCCTGGAGATACGGCCTCTTAAAAGCCTGTTTAATGGAAAATGGTAGGAAAAAACCATCTTTTAGAAAATGAGGCTCAAAGTAAAAAAATATTCAAAAAACAGGCACAAGTGACCATATGAACTGGTAATGTGTCAAGAATCCTACACATTAATAAGGTAACTTATTCTGCCTCGCAAATAAGCAGTGGCTAGCAGGGCTGGCACTAGAGAACTAATGACAGGAAGAATGACAACTGGGACACAAGTGGGTCTGGGAGCACATTCTGTTTCTCAAATACGTTTTATAATCTATCTGTTCCACGTACTGTTCATAGTGAAAATACTATCCAGTGGAGCATTTACTAAGAAAATGACAGACCTACCGCAAACATTTACATAAAAACTTCTGCTGATGTATATAGTTGAGTAAACGACACAGATTCATAAGAAGCAAGAAGTGAATAATAAATTAAGATATAAGGCATCTCAAATAGTTTTTAAAGAAGTAAGCAGGGCATAAAACTAAACAAAGATAGGCAAAACAAAACAAAAAAGCACAATATAGGTTCTGATTCAAACATGATGAGGAAATTCAAACAAGATGAGGAAATACCATATCCAGGATGGTTATAAAGAATACATATTCTGATGATAAGAAATGAGTTGGATGATCTTCAACTCTACAGCTTTTTTTTTGGTAAGGTATGCCTTACTAAAAATAGAAATTATATCTCATTTAGTTATACATATAAAAAATTACGTTTGGTGAAAGAAAACCCATGAAATTAAGTCAAATTTGGAAAACCTGGAAGATCTGAGCACTACACCTGTGTAGGAGCCTCACTGTTCTCCTTCACAAATGTCTTTAGATCCATGTCCAACTATAGCTTATATAGAAGAGAATGAGGCCTTTTTATTCTTATATCTTTTCTATTTTCAAGCTTTTTTTTTTTTTACTGATCTGTGAGTGACTAACTCAACATCAACATTAAGAATTCAGAGTTCCTGACAAGCTTCATATTTTCTGACTTAAATCTCAAGAAAATATTGTATCATGATATTAACAAAACATCTGTGAGTCAAATTACTTACTGACACCTGATTAAAAGTACAATCATTAAATAAATCAAATGACAACGTTTTTCTCAGAATATAGTACCATTTAGTTTAGCTTAATTTATGCAATATATAAGTATAGTCAAAAGGAGAGTGTTCTATATTTACAAGTATTTAAACTGCTTAGAATTTTGCTGGCACACAGTGCTTCATAAATATTAGCTTTATCATTAGTAATTATTAATATTTTAAGAAGTTAACATGAAGCATAACTGATTTTTTGAACGCTGGGCCGCATTTCACATACTAGTTTCAATCAATTAAGACAGTAAGAAGACATCACCCATTTCAACTTTTATTTTTAAGCCTTTAAAAAAATATCTTCCACAAGGGACAAAAGTTGAGTTACACTTCATTAGCTGAACCTCACATACTAGTTCTACAAAATGCTAGTCCCCAAACTGAGTAGAAACAAGAACTCATTTTATGGTATTTACATATGGAATATGGATTTCAGGCCCATTTGAGTGTTTTTGTATGAAAGGCAGGCAGGACTCTTCCTATGTCTTTCGGGGACTATGAACAGGAACATTCATCTCTCTACCCAGTCCGGAGCTTCTCACACTGAGGAATGCACACCTTCAGGTAAACTGGTGTAAATTTCCAGCAAAGCTCTTCCTCTTAAGAATTTTCAGGAGCAAAAAAGCTAAGTACAGACAGTCCTCTCTTTTCATGGTAGTATGAGACTGTG